CACTGCGACATGACGGAGCACCGCCGCCTGGGCTACCTGCCGCGTGCCATCCGCTGGAACCGCGAGGCCCTCATGCAGTCTCTTCGCTCGGGCCAAGGTCGTGCTGCCTTCCTCATTGAGCTCGAGACCTACCTACGCGAGCACGCGGACGAGTGGGCCACCATCCAACGCGAGGAGCAGACACCTAACGCCGACTGGGGCTTTATGATGGACGCTATGATGACCATTGGCAGCAAGCATTTCGCGCAGGCCCCTGAGTACCGCCCTGGGTATCGCACTCTGGCCGCTACCATCCAGCCGCTCTTGGACCAACAACGGGCTCTCCGACTCCAGCTCAGCGACGACCACTTCTCGGACAACGCCGACGGCGCGCTGGCTCTCCTCTCCGTGCAGTGGCAGCTCCGATGCCACACCAAGTGGCTCCGCTCGGCTCGCAGACAGTACTGGGCTACGTGGCGCATCGACACCGTCGACGAGCTCAACGAGGCCCGACGCCATGGACGCAGTGCTGAGGTGGCTCGCCTCTCCCGACTCCTGGCTGGCACGGGCGTGGGCCCCCGCAAGAGAGACTACCGACGGGCGCCTGTGGCCCTCCCCACTGGAGAGGAGCTGGCCGAGCGCTGGTCGCTGCCGGCTGGCGAAGGTGGCATGGCAGCCACTCACATTGATTGGGTCCAGCAGGCTGAGGATTACGTTTACCACGACGTCACTGGCCAGGAGGCGGAGCAGTTCATTGCGCCGTGGACCGAGGAGGGCCTGTGTTGGGCTAAACACCGCCTTCGCGAACTTCGCGCCTGGCTACGACGGGCCCCCAAGCGTCGTGCCTGCCCGCCGTGGTCGGTCCCGCTTGAACTATGGTGGATGCTGCTTCACCCGTACCGCCGCGTGTCCAGGCGCTTCCACGGAGTTGGCTACGAGACACCGCAGATCGATCAGGAGCATACGTGGCGTTTTTTGGTGATCTTCCTCCGTCGGCTTCGACGTTCAGGCCAGGTCCCGCTCGTGTGGCATTTGAGCCAAGGCGTGGCGCTCACCTGGAAGAGAGTCATTCACCTCCTCGACCCCTTCGGCAAGGGCTTCATGGCCACGGCGATGGGCCCGCACGAGCTCCAGGACGAACCTCTTTTCGCTCACGGCTGTATACCTCATCGGCGCAGAGAGACGGCCATCCTGGGCCAGCAGCTGTGTACATGGAAGCTGCGCTCTCTCGGCCTCAATCACGTCACTGACCTCAAGGACATTACCAACGCCTTCGCGTCCACCAACTGGGACAGCCTCGCAGCCGCCAACCAGAGCATCATGAAGGACGACCAGGTTTCGTTCGGCCGCCAGCGCTTCCGCTTTGCTGCCGTGATGTTTGGCGACCTCTGCGTGCGCCCCAGCGTCGGGGCTCTCATTGGCGATCCGTGGGCGGTGAAAGTCTTTGTTCGGGACATCAGCACCGTCTTTGCGAAGGTGCAGGAACAGTTTGCGGAGTTCGGCCCCGAGACGGCTACCTGGTGCCAGCTCACGCTCAATGTTGATGGCGAGGAGATTCTTCTTGACTTGGCTTTTCACTCATATGTAGATGACGCCATTCGGAAGATCGTGGTGCCTGACCAGGCTACGGCCGCGGAGCTCGCGCGTTGGTCCCGAGCATATGACTTGCTTCTTTCGTCAGAGCTCCGACGTCACGGCTATGCGCTCAACCCAGCTAAGAACGTCAGCCTCTTGTCTTTCGTGGGCACGGGGCTCCATGCACGGCGGCGAGAAGTGGCGGAAAAAAAGGTTCTTCTCGCAGGGGTCCCAGCTGATTCAACCCGACATCTTGGAGGCCAGGTCATGGGTAACTGTTCGTTTCGGGCCGAGCTTTCGGCCCGCCTGGCGGCCATCTCTGCGGGCTTCTTTTCCATGGGAAAGTATTGGTACTCTCGGAGGATCGCCTACACCGAGCGCCGCGCTGTGTTCCTTGCCAGGGTTGTGGGTCCTGCGTGTTCCGCCTGCGAGGCCTTCTTGCCGTCCCCCAACCAGATTGACCAGCTCACGGCGCGGGTCGTCTTCTTCGGGCGCAAAGCTATGCGGGGTGCCGCGACGTCTTGGGAGGGGGGCCACGCTCGTTCGGTCTCTTCCGAGTCGGTCTTGAGGTATTGGCGGGTCCCTCCTCTCGAAATCGAGTTCCGTGTCAGACGTTTGCGGTGGTACCAGCAATGGGCTCGAGAGCCCGCGCGACATCTAGGCGAGTGGGCCCCTCTCTTCGGGGACATGAACATCGAGAAACTGCGAGGCCTCCGAACCCTTACACCCGAGGGCCATCTCACGGAGACGGCGAACCCCTGGGCCATCCAGTACGTCAGGGACTTCGAGGCGCTTCGGAGGACGTCCGCGGACACCGAGGAGGATATGCGTTCCTGGTCAGGAGCCCCTTTGGAGTTTCTCGAGGAGGGGGACTTGCGGGACTGGTTCACGGAGTTGGACCTCTCAGTCGTCAGGGCCGCGTGGCTCTCGGTCAGCATCCCTCCTGCAGGCACCTCAGGCCCCCATAAAGAGGCACCACCTGAGATTCCCGCAGGACAAGGTGAGGGCTTTCGCTGCTCCATCGGGAACTGCGCCAAATGGTTCCTCACGAAACGTCAGTGGCTGGTTCACGTTCGGGCCGCTCATGGTTACAGAACCTTGTTGGCTGAGGCTGTCCAGGGCGCTTCGTGCTTCGTTTGTGGCAGCAGGTTCCAGTCTCGCAACTCGGCTTACAACCACGTGCTGGACTCGTTCGCTTCGGGCTTCTGCAAGGTTCAGCTCAGCACGACTCTCGAGCTCGCTCCGTCGACAGGCCCATTCCGTTGCCGCCTATGTGAGGCTCAAGTTCTTTCCGAGCCTGCTCTTCACCTCCATACGCGCATCCACTTCGAGGACCTCCCGCTCGTGCTTGGAGGTGATGGATCTCGACGAGCCCAGCTGGGCAGTCGGGAAACGCAAGGGCCAGGAGACCAGCGACTCCAAGGGTGCCATGCAGGCCCGATTGCTCGCGGAGCTCGGCCAGGAGGCGCAGGCCAACCAGAAGAACGGCAAGGGAGGAGCGCTGGCGGCGCTCTTGGTGGTTCTCACGAAGCTCGCCCTCACCAACGCGCGCGAGTTGGCCGAGGTGACTGGCGCCTGCTTCACCTCGTACATGGTCGGGGCAGAGGTTCCGTTCGTCAAGGTGTTGCAGGAGACGGGCAAGACGTACGCCGAGAACTGCAAGGCCGACGGCAAGGACCACCAGCACGGCCCCCCCTGGCCGCACGTGTTCAAGGCGTTCATCAAGTGGGCCTGCAGCACGGATGGGGCCAACACGACTCCAGCGGCAGCGCAGACGGTGTTCCAGGACTACTGGCGGAAGGTCATCCTCGCCCCGTCGGCGCTCGAGACACTGGCGATCCACTGCCGCCACTTCCGCCTCAAAGCCTGCTGGTACGACAAGAAGAAGCTCTCCAAGCCCGACAGGTTCAAGCTCCAGATCATGCTCGGAATCCCGCAACAGGCGAACCCATGGGGCGACGGCTCAGTTTCTCTGATGGAGGCGGTTCAGCAGACGGTCATGGCGGCAGGCTCAGACAAGAAGGACCAGACCGTGCGCTTTCTCCCTGGGGCGCCGCCGAGAGGCGGCTTGGAACGCGAGGCTTCGAAGCTGCTGGCGCAGCTGGGGATGAAGGACAAACCAGCAGCGGCGCCCGACGACAGGGACAAGGACGAAGACGAGCTCTGAGTAGACCAGCTCGCTTCAGGCTGCAATCCGTTAATGGCTCACGCCGCACCGCTGAGCTGTACCTCCAGGGTCGCCTCCCAGACGAAACCCTCCTCGCCCTCCAGGCTCGGACCCTCTCCCCGATCCTCGAGTACTCGGATGGGGCCCTGGAGGTTAGACTTTTCTTTAGGACCCCCCCCATTCAGGCTTCCTTCGGCGCCGAGACTCTTCAGAGGCTTTCGGAGGCCTCCCGCCAGCTTCGGTTGGCTTCGAGTTCCTGGGGCGAGGGCCGTCTCTCGGGTTCCCTGCGGACCTCGGACGTCTGGGCCGTGCCGCGCCGCGTTGAGGAGGGCTGAAAGGGGTTGTGCTGGGGTCGGTTTATGCGTCGCCGTCCCTCGGCCCTGTTCAGTGGAGGGAGTGCATAGGCGAGCCCCCTAGGAGTTCCCGATAAGGGGGTCTCGTTTGTATGCCAGTGGTATCCCCCTGCAGGGCCCCGCAGAATCTCGGGCCCCTCAAGCGGTTCTCGAACGCCTGATCCGTTTTTTGTTTTCCTTGTGGGCCTGCAGGGTGCGGTTGTCTCAAGGCGATTGACTTCATCGGATCATCGGCGCTGCTCTGCTCTGCTCTCTCCTCCTCCTCCTCCTCCTCCTCCTCCTCCTCCTCCTCCCCTCCTTCTCCTCCTCCTCCTCCTCCTCCTCCTCCTCCTCCTCCTCCTCCTGCTCCTCCACCTTCTTCTCCCTCTCATCCTCCTCCTTCTCCTCCTCCTCCTTCTCCTTCTCCTCCTCCTCCTCCTCCTCCTCCTCCTCCTCCTCCTCCTCCTCCTCGCCTCCTCCTCCTCCTACCCCCCCCCTTCCCCCCTATCATTCCCGTCCCTCTCCCCCTCCCCTCCTCCTCCTCCTCCTCCTCCTGCTCCTCCTCCCCCTCCTCCTCCAATCCCCCCTCGCCCTCCCCCTCCTCTCCTCTCCTCTCCTCCTCCTCCTCTCTCCTCCTCCTCCTCCTCCTCCCTCCTCCCTCCTCCTCCTCCTCCTCCTCCTCTCCCCTCGTTTTTCGTGCATCATCCTTCCCCCCGCTCCCCTCGTCCTCCTCATTTTCCTCCTCCTCCTCGTCCTCCTCCTTTATCTCCTCCTCCTCCTCCTCCTCCTCCTCCTCCTCCGCCTCCTTTCCCTTTTCGTTCTCCTCATCCTCCTTCCCCCCCCTCCTCTTCCTCATCCTCGTCCCACCCTTCCCCCGAACGTTGCCCCCCGTCCCCCCCCCTTCCCGAGGATTGCCCCCACCCCCACCCCCCTGCTGCTGCCGAGAGGCCACCGTGAACCACCTCGCGGATTGGACGGACGCGGAGCTGCAGCAGCTCCGCGGCCACGTACGGAGCCCCAGACTCACCACCCACCAGGCCACCCCAACCCAACCCGGAGCCCGAAACCCTCAATCTGGCCTCCACTTCCAGTGGGGGGGGGTCAGGGAGCACTGAACAAACACATATGGAACCCGTCCCCCCCAGACATGAAGTTCGGGTCTTCGGGTTGGGTTGGATTGGGTTCGGGTGCAGGAGGAGGAGGAGGAGGAGGAGGAGGAAAAGGTGGAAAAGGTGGAGGAGGAGACGGAGGAGGAGGAGGAGGTAGATGAGGAGGAGGAGGAGGAGGAGGAGGAGGAGGAGGAGGAGGAGGTTGGGCTGGGCTGGTAGGTCGCAGACGGGCCGGTCGCCCGCTCCCCCGGAGGCGGGGCGCTTCTCCCGGGCTCGCGGCGGCACCATTTTTCCCCGTTTTGGCCGCGGGCCCTCTTGGGACAAAATTGCCAGTGTTTGCGTGCCAAAGCGTTTTCCTTTGCGGAGCTGTTCGCCCTGGCCTGGACGGCCGAGCGACTCCTGCAGCGGGACACTCTGGCAACACGGCTGCCGCCGCAAAAGCGGTCGGTTTAATTCTGATGCTGCGCAAAGGCGCCCCCGCTCTTCCCCCCAGGGAAGGGGTTCTCCACCCACCACCAAATCGAGTAATGAGGGAACCGACTCGAAAATGGATGCGCCCCAGGATGGCTTCTCCGCAGGTTCTACGAAAAATGCGACGAGTGCTCCTGGGATCTATGAAGCATTTTACTCAATGTTCGTAGTTTCGACGGGGACGTGAATGTTGGAGTACATCAATTGTGTAGCCGATTCCCTGATCGAACCGAAGGGGGGGTCGAAGCAGGCGGGATCGCAGCATCGCGCCGCGTCGCCGATGCATCGGCGATGCGGCTCGATGTGCAGAGGGTGCCGAGTTGAGACAACGGCAGTCGGTCTTTCGGGGGGCCCCACCCCACAGCCGGACGCAGCCCGGACCCCAGGATGGGGTCTGTGGGGCCGATTGTTTGAGCTGCCGACGCCTCAGCGCGCCCTGCGCCGACGCCGCCGGTGTATCGCCGGTGCAACGGCGATGCGTCGGCGATGCTGATGGGCCTGTTTTCCACCACCACCACCACCACCACCACCACCATGAGTTGGAGGGGGGAAAAGGGAGGAGGAGGAGGAGGAGGAGGAGGAGGAGGAGGAGGAGG